TCGCGGGTCGCCCACTTGGAGCGAGCAGCAGAGTCAGCATCAGCAGGCGGGGCAGGGACAGCGCCAGAGACAAAGTCAAAGAGAGAGACCTCATCTATCGCATCACACAGTAAGTACAGCTGCAGGTCTTCAATCCAGACGGCAAAGTCAATGGCCCTCCCCTCAGCGTCAAAAGTAAGAACATTGGGGGTGGCCATGGCAGCAGCTGAAAGTCTCACCGGGCTAGGAGAGTCGGGTAGGACAGCAGCAGGCAGCTCGGGCTGGGTCGGGCGGCTCGGGCGGCTCGGGCGGCTCGGGCGGCTCGGGTAGCTCGGGTACCGGGCGGCTCGGCTGCTGCTGGGCGGCTCGGCTGCTGCTGTGCGGCTCAGCTGCTGCTGGGCGGCTCGGCTGCGGCTGGGCGGCTCGGCTGCTGCTGGGCGGCTCGGCTGCGGCTGGGCGGCTCGGCTGCTGCTGGGCGGCGCGGCTGCTGCTGGGCGGCTCAGCTGCTGCTGGGCGGCTCGGCTGCGGCTGGGCGGCTCGGCTGCTGCTGGGCGGCTCGGCGGGGCCGTCAGGGTGCAGCTGCGGGGCCGGGACAGGGGACGGCGGAGCCGTCAGGTGGCGGGCCAGCAGGTGAGGTGGCGAGCCGTCGGGTGAGGCGGCGGGGCCGTCAGGTCAGGTGGCGGGCCAGCAGGGGAGGCGGCGGGGCCGTCAGGTCTGGTGGCGGGCCAGCGGGTGAGGCGGCGGGCCGTCAGGTGAGGTGGCGGGCCAGCAGGTCAGGCGGCGGGCCGTCAGGTGAGGCGGCGGGGCCGTCAGGTCAGGTGGCGGGCCAGTAGGTGAGGCGGCGGGCCGTCAAGTGAGGCGGCGGGGCCGTCAGGTAAGGTGGCGGCGGGCCGTCAGGTGAGGCGGCGGGGCCGTCAGGTAAGGTGGCGGGCCAGCAGGTGAGACGGTGGGCCGTCAGGTGAGGCGGCAGGGCCGTCTGGTGAGGTGGCGGGCCAGAAGTCGAGGCGGCGGGCCGTCAGGTGAGGCGGCGGCCGTCAGGTAAGGCGGCTGCGGGGCCGACAGAGGTGCAGCGGGGGGGGGGGGGGCCTGCTGCAGCGACGAAGAGGCCGCGCGGCCGTCTGGAGGGCGGCGCGGCGCGGCAGAGCAGAGAGGGCGGCGCGGCGCGGCTGTAAGGGCCGCGCGAAGTGGGGCCTGGGCCGCGCGCGCGAAAAAAAAATTGAGTCGCGCGCGCGCGACTCTCGGGGCGCCACAAGGGCAGCTCGACGCGCACTAGGGGGAGCGCGCCTCGGGGAGAATAGGGCGCGCTCCGGGCAGGAAAAAAAAAAATCGTGGGTGGGCCCAAAGAACGGTCCTTAGGAGGGACCCGCTCTATACCATGTGAAACTAACAGAACAGGAATGAATTGACTAAGTCAGAGTTGGGTACAAAATGCAACCCTAGCAAACTGTACCCCATATGTGCTACCCCACTATAGCCTACAAACATGCATCAGCCATAATAATCTGACAAAACTCTCCCTCGACACCAATGGCTCAACCCCCAAGACTCCCCGTCCCAGTGAAGAGGCAATTCTCTCCGCTCAATCAAGGTTTCTCAACATATCAAAAATAAAGACAAGTACCTGTTTTGACGGCAGAGACTTCTATACCTGGAGCTCCGAATTGGAGCTTTTGCTGCAGAACGCCCAAATCTTCCATTACTTCGACGGGAGCTACGCGGAGCCTGCTGAGGATACCGACGACGCCAAGACGAGGTACTACAACGAATCGCTGATGGCATACGGAGTGATTCTGCGGAATATGTCGGCGGCGGAGCAGCTCAACATTCGTTCGTACAAAACGACAGCTGCTCCAGCCCTCAACGCCTGGCGACATCTGACAGGCGTGTATCAGCCCAAGGACTCCGTGTCCTCGAGCCGACTACTCCAGGAACTACTGGAAACCAAGATGACCTCAGGGGAGAAGGTCAACAACTACCTTAACCGCTGTCGGAGCCTTCGCGATCAAATCGTGAAGTTGGGAAGCACGATATCGGAACAAATCTTCGTCAACATCGTGCTTCAAGGGTTCGGCCCAGAGTGGCGGCCCTGCAAGGCGCTTCTCCGACAGCAGGGGGTCATCTCGGAGGCCGCCCTTTGCGCCGCCCTTCTCGTCGAACAAAGGGATATGGACCAGCAGCGACCAGCGCCACGACGAGAACGCGAACGGCTCGCCTTCTACGCTGACAACAACGAAGAGCGACGGCCGAGGCGCCTCTACTGCAAAAGTTGCAGAAATTTCGGGCACCTGGCGGATCGATGCAAACTCCGATCTCGCCCTCGCTAGTCCAATCCGAGCACTTGGACCGGCCGACAAGACGCACGAGGCGACGTGCGTCCAGCCCAGGGACAACAACTCCCACCTGCGCGCAACCTGAACCCAGCGGTTCAGTACCAGCAGCAGCAGTCGTCATCGACTGCACCAGTTCGCAATGTCATGAGCAACATGACCATGACAAGCGAGTCGCGTCGTCGACGCATGCGCTCACCTTCACCTGAGCCAGCACCACACCCCATTGGCGCATATATCAACAACAATCCTTTTAGCTCGCGCCGCGACTACACCGACGACGACGACCAGGACTAGAATCTCCCAGTCCCGCTGCTCGAAAGTCCCCCGCACGTCCCTGATATGCGAGTGGCGCCACTTGATTGGCTTACGCGCGAACAATTTCTTAAGTTCGACGCCCCGCACATCGTCACGCCGCGACTGGCGCTGCTCGCACGTGACGACAACAAGCGCTACAACACCTGGTACCTGGACAGCTGCTGCGGCCAGCATATGGTGGGGTCCGAGCGTTACATATCCAACGCCGTCCCCACCCCTACCGTCACCTACGTCACCGTGGCAAATAATACACGCGTGCGCGCAAGCGCGCAAGGCATCGTCATGCTCAAGGCACGCGGAATCCGCACCCACATCACACTCAACGATGTGTTAATCGTCCAGAACTTGCGCTTCAACCTTCTGTCCGCCGCACAACTCATGGATTGCGGTGTCGACCTCAGCACGGACCACGCGACGCGAGACATCCTGCTGCACTACGAAGCACGCAACTTTCCCCGCAGGCAGATCGGACGAGCGCGCTCTGAAAATGGAGTATACGTCTTGGATTTCGACATCCCCGACTGCAGCGGCGACACGCACGAACTAATTGACCTCGTGCCACTGCGCTTCGAACACATCCACCGCAGGGACTGGAAGCACCCTGACGGTAGACCGTGGGTTCCGCACCATCCCCACCCACGCGAAACGACACTTCACAATCCCGATCCAGACGGAATATGCAGGGATTGTGACACACCGACGACTTCGACGAACGCGATCGCCGGCCGGGGACTCGCCGCCATCGTTGAAGCAGAGCGTCACATGCCCCCAAGGGAAGGGATGTCGCAGCTCGAACTCGAAGTCACCACCCACGGCGTCTTCGGCACGCCAGAACATCCCCTTATCGGTCCCCCCTCGCAACACCTTCAGGGGATGCTGCGCGGAACTGGCGTCGGCACCTTCGATGCCCGTGGCGAGCCGCGACCCTACACCTACGCGAAATTCCTGGAGACCTACCCTCACCAACACGATTCGACGAAGAAACTCACCATGGAACGAGAGGAAGAACTGGCGCGCCGCGAAGCTGAGGAGCTTCGCCAGCAAAGTCTCGTAGAGGCACGCGGGACGTTCGCTTGCGATGCATGGGGAGGTGAAGCGGTAGAAGATGACTCCAACGAAGGAGGATGGGGAAGCATTGGCGGGTTGGAAACAAACGACGCTAGCGGCTGGGGAAACAGCGGCGGCACCTGGGCCGACGCGGGCGGCGGATGGGGCGCCGCAACTGGCTGTCAGAACATTATAGCTTATATATATTTGTGTAGGCTATAGTGGGGTATCCCATAGGGGGTACAACCCAATCAGGGTTTCCTATATGTACTCACTTCATTCATAGTTCATTCATTCTCGTTCTCATTCTCACATGGAATCAGAGCAGGTCCCCTCCTAGGGACTGTTCCTTGGGCCCACCGAAGCGCGCCTCGAGGCGCGCGCTCCCTTTTTTTTAGCGACCCGTCGGGTCGCACCTAGCGGCTCGTCGCGCCACCCTTACGGTCGCGTCGAGCCGCCTTCGCGGCTGCGGCGCGCCGCCCTTCTCCCGGCCCGTCGCCGCCCTTACCTGCGGCTTCGCGCCGCCCTTACTGGCGGCTTCGCGCCGCCCTTACCTGCGGCTTCGCGCCGCCCCGGCCCGTCGCCGCCCTTACTTGCGGCTCCACGCCGCCCTTACCTGCGGCTTAGCGCCGCCCCGGCCCGTCGCCGCCCTTATCTGCGGCTTCGCGCCGCCCTTCACTGCGGCCCGCCCGTCGCCTTACCTGCGACCCACCCGCCGCCCTTACTTGCGGCCCACCGCCGCCCTACCTGCGGCTCACGCCGCCGTCCTGGCCCCACGCCGCCGTCCCGGCAGCACGCCGCCGTCCCGGCCCCCACGCCGCCGTCCCGGCCGCACGCCGCCGTCTCGGCTGCACGCCGCCATCCCAACTGCACGCCGCCGCCTCGGCCCCACGCCGCCCTTACGCCGCTGTGACACCCAGCCGCCCGAGCCGCCCGTGCCATCTGCTAGACCCGAGCCGCCCGGACCCCTGTGCCGGTGAGGAGCCGAGCCGCGTGTGCCGCTGAGGAGCCGAGCCGCCTGTGCCGCTGAGGAGCCGAGCCGCCCGAGCCGCCTGTGCCGCTGAGGAGCCGAGCCGCCCGAGCCGCCTGTGCCGCTGAGGAGCCGAGCCGCCCGAGCCGCCCGAGCCGCTGAGTATCTGAGCCGCCCGAGCCGCCCGAGCCGCCCGAGCCGCCCGAGCCGCCCGAGCCGCCTGAGTCACCTGAGGAGCAGAGCCGCTGGTCCCTCGGAGCTGCTGTTGCTGCTGGGCCGGCCGAGCAGCAGTGTTGCCGTGTTGCTGTGCCCCTGAGCTGCCCGACCCGCCCTGTCTGGTGAGATCATCGACTGCTGTCATGGCTACCCCTAGTGTCCTAGCTTTTGACGCTGAGGGTCGCGCCATTGACTTTGAGGTCTGGGTAGACGACCTGCAGCTGTTCTTACAGTGCGATAGGGCAGACGGTCTTTCTCTCTTTGACCTCACCTCTGGCGCCGTCCCTGCCCCTGCTGCTGATGCTGACCCCACTGTTCGCTCCTAGTGGGCCACACGCGACGCTGCTGCACGTCTTGCTGTGCGTCGCCACCTGCCTACCGCTGAGCGCGCGCACTTTAGTCAGTACAAGAGTGCTCAGACCTTGTACTACGCTGTAGTTGCGCGCTACTCCTCCCCTGCCATTGCTGCACTGAGCCGCCTCATGCTCCCCTTCCTCTTCCCTGACCTTGCCGCCTTTCCCACTGTCGCTGATCTCATTACGCACCTCCGCACTAGTGACACCCGCTACCGCGCTAGGCTTCCTGCTGACTTCTGCGCCAAGAACCCCCCCCCCCATGTACATCACTCTCTACTTTCTAGTCACCCGCCTCCCTGACTCCCTTCGTGTAGTCCGGGACCACTTCCTCGCGGTCTGTCCCACCACTCTCACAGTCGTCAGCCTAGAGAAGGCCCTCCTAGCGGCGGAGAAGAGCATCGTCGCTGTAGGAGCCTCTCGAGGTGACCCCCGTGCCCCCATTTTTGAGGGGTGTTCTCCTTCCCCTCTCTTGCCCTCTGTCGCCTCTGCCGCTGCGGCCGACCTCGTTGGTCTTGAGTCGGTCGGTGCGGCGTCTGCCCCTAGCGGGAGACGCCGCCCTGGCAAGGGCAAGGGGGGCAAGGGAGTGGGTGGGGCCAGCGGGGGCGGTGGAGGAGGAGGTGGAGGCGGCGGAGGGAGTGGGGGTGGCGGTGGAGGTGGTGGCGGGGGTGGAGGTGCTAGTGGCAGCAGTGGAGGCGGAGGCGGCGTCGGCGGCGGCGGTACTGGCGGAGGTGGCGGCGGTGGCGGAGGTGGAGGAGGCGGAGGTGGAGGTAGTGGAGGTGGTCGGAGTGGAACTTCGCAGCGGAGCGGCACTGGGGGTGGTCAGCGCCAGCAGCAGCAGCAGAAGCAGCAGCAGCAGCAGCGTTCTCGCGACGTCTCCACCCCTTAGCAGCTCAGTGAGTGGTACACGCAGCGTCAGCGTGGTGGGGGTCTTGGTCCCTGCACCTACGTTCTTCGCACCAGCGACCGCGCGGGTGAGCAGTGTGGGGGTGCCCACTCCACCCAGCGCTGCTTTGGCCGCCTGACGGACACTTGGCGTCAGCAGTTTCCAGAGGCCACGGAGATCCCCCGCTGGGGAGAGCTGCCTAGGGCTGGTGTAGCTATCTTTGATCTTGACTTTGATGCTATCCTTGCTGCCATGTATGCTGTGACCATTAGTGATGAGGGTGACTGTTACCGGTGTTTCCCGCCCGACCCGGGCATTGGTACTGCTGCTCTAGGTGCCAGCGAGGCTACTGCTCTAGGTGCCAGTGCGTCTGTGCTCTCAGGTACTGGTGAGTCTGCGCTCTCAGGTACTAGTGAGTCTGCGCTCTCAGGTACTGCGTCGGCTTCGGCCTCCCACACCTTCACCCTTGACTCTGGAGCGTCTCGCTCCTTCTTTCCAGTCCGCACCACACTCACGCCGCTTAGTCGGCCGGTTGCGGTGTCCCTGGCTGACCCCTCTGAGGGTCGTGTCCTGTCTCGCTTCTCCACAGTCCTCCCGTGTCCGGCGGCTCCCTCTGGCACCCTGTCTGGTCTCTACCTCCCCTCGTTCTCTACGAACTTGGTGAGTGGTGCTGACCTACAGGATGCGGGAGTCCACCAGTTCACCCCTGCTCGTCAGCGGGTGACGCACTGCACCGACGCTAGCACAGGTCGCCACCTGGCTACGTTTACACGTCAGCCAGGGTCGAGCCTGTACACACTGACCACTGCTTCTCCTCCAGTTGCTGAGTCTGGTAGGGTTCCTGCGTCTGGTCAGGTGTTTGCTGCAGCGTCCAGGTCTGGTCCTGAGTCTGCCCCCTGTTCGTGTCGTCGCCTGTCTCACGAGACTCTCCTCTGGCACCACCGCCTTGGTCACCCCTCTCTGCTTCAGCTCAGAGGCATGGCCTCCCGTCTTCTTGTGTCTGGTCTCCCCCGGTCCCTCCCTCCCCTTCCTCAGGGCCCAGGCCCTGCCTGTGTCCCCTGTGTCGAGGGGCGCCAGTGTGCTATTGTAGCACCTGGGACACACTTGACAACAGAGGCTCTGGGCCTTCAGGTGTGTCCCAGGCAGGTAGACGCGGTCGAGCCTGTCGATGTCACTGGTGACTCTGGTGCTGCTGCGGGTGCTGAGCCTAGGGGTGCTGAGACTGGGGGTGCTGAGCCTGGGGGTGCGGAGCCTGGGGGTGCTGAGCCTGGGGGTGTTGAGCCTAGGGGTGCTGAGCCTGGGGGTGCTGAGACTGGAGGTGCTACACCTGGAGGTGCTTTGCCTGGGGGTGCTAAGCCTGGAGGTTCTTCGCCAGGAGGTTCTCCGGGTGCTTCGTCTCGCCGAGAGCCACTCTCCCCACAGGAGCTGCGTGAGTGGTTTGCTTGGTGTTGGAGGCGTGCTGCTGGTGCTGGAGGTTCTTCGGCTGCTGAGGGTGCTGCTGTCGCGGGTCCCGGAGGTGCTCGTACTGGGAGTACTGGAGCTGCTGGGCCTGCGGGTTCGACTGGAGCTGGTGCTGCTGAGGGTGTTGGCACTGAGACTACCACTGGCGGTCCGGCTGGCGGTGCTTCTGGTGCTGCTGGAGGTTCTGGGGCTGCTGGAGGTGCTGTTGGGGGTTCTGGTGCTGTTGGAGGTGCTGCTGGAGCGGGTACTCCTGCTGGGGGTACTGGTACTGTCCCTGCTGTTTCTGGCGTCGCCACGCGGCCCCGACCGTACTTCGTTCCACTCTTGCAGCAGGCTCTTGCTCTTACACCTTCTCCTGGTCCTCCTCCTCCTCCTCCTCCCTTAGAGGGTCCACAGCCTGTCCAATCACAGTCACAGCTACAGCCTGCCTCCCCTTTGCCTGCTCCTTCTCCCTACGCTGGTCCGACTGGAGGCCTTACTGAGCGTCGTGAGCCTGCGTCTCGTCCTGCGTCGCCTGTTCGTGCTGCGCGCACTAGTGGTCGCGGTTCGCGTCAGCGTCCTCCTCCTGTCCCTGGCACGCACCGGATGTCTCTGCGTCCGTCTTCTGCTCCTCTACGTGCCCCTTTGCCTTCTCCTCCTGCTTCCTCTCTTCCTGCTCTTGCCGACCCGGAGTCGGACTCTCTTCGTGCTGCCAGTCCTACTGTCACGCGTCTCCTTGCTACTGCCGTCAGTGACCCTTCTTTTGAGTCTACTGCTGCGTCTGCCCTTGTTACTGAGGTCGTCGACTTTGCTGCTCACTGTCGTCTAGACTACGCTGCTGGTCTTGTCGCTGAGTCTGAGTCTGCCTGTCCTCCGTCCGTCGGGGGTGAGTGTGCCCTTGGCACGGACGTCCTTGAGGACAGGCAGGAGGAGTTTCAGTGTCTGGCCGCCACTTCACCTCATCTCGTGTCTGTACTGCTTACCCCTGAGGGAGACCCGGATGCACCTGACATCCCGACTCTGCGCTCTTACGCGGAGGCGATAGAGGGTCCCTACTCCTCTCAGTGGCAGGCAGCTATGGATGCAGAGATGGCTTCCTGGAAGTCCACAGGCACCTACGTTGACGCTGTCCCCCCTCCTGGGGCGAACATCGTCAGTGGCATGTGGATCTTCAGGGTGAAGCGGCCGCCGGGTTCTCCGCCTGTCTTCAAGGCGCGTTACGTGGCTCCTGGCTTCAGTCAGCGGTAGGGAGTTGACTACTTTCAGACCTTCTCCCCCACCCTGAAGATGACCACTCTTCGGGTACTGCTGCACGTTGCTGCTCACCGGGACTACGAGCTGCACTCTCTCGACTTCAGCACTGCTTTCTTGCAGGGCAGCCTGCACGAGGAGATCTGGCTGCGCCGCCCACCTGGCTTCACTGGGTCTTTCCCTCCTGGTACCCAGTGGTGTCTCCGGCGTCCACTCTACGGTCTCCGCCAGGCGCCGCGTGAGTTGCACGATACACTGAGGACTACACTGGCGGCACTTGGGTTTGCTCCTTCTACTGCCGACCCGTCACTGTTTCTGCGCACCGACACCTCTCTGCCGCCGTTCTACATCCTCGTGTACGTCGACGACTTGGTCTTTGCCACAGCTGACACTGCTGGACTCGCCTACGTGAAGTCCGAGCTGCAGAAGAGACACTCGTGCACTGACATGGGTGAACTGCGCAGCTACCTTGGCTTGCAGATCACCCGGGACAGAGCACGCCGCACCATTACCCTGACTCAGTCACACATGGTGCAGCAGGTCCTTCAGCGCTTCGGCTTCACGTACTCCTCGCCTCAGGCCACTCCTCTGCCTACTCGCCACTCGCTCTCAGCTCTGCCTTCGGATGAGTCCGTAGAGTCGAGTGGCCCGTATCCAGAGCTTGTTGGCTGCCTCATGTACCTGATGACCTGCACACGACCTGACCTTGCATACCCTCTTAGCATTCTTGCACGCTATGTTGCTCCTGGGAGACACCGACCAGAGAACATGGCTGCAGCGAAGAGGGTGTTGCGCTACTTGTGCAGTACGTCGGGCATGGGGCTAGTGCTTGGAGGGCGGAGTCCAGTGGTCCTCACTGGGCACGCGGACGCTTCTTGGGCTGACGACCAGGCTACGCAGCGGTCGTCACAGGGTTACACCTTCAGTCTTGGTTCCGGCTCTGTTTCGTGGCGGGCTACCCGCTCGTCTTCTGTTCTCGGCTCCAGTTGTGAGGCTGAGATCTACGCCGGGGCTATGGCTGCCCAGGAGCTTCGCTGGCTCACCTACCTGCTGACCGACCTTGGAGAGCCGCCTCGTTCTCTTCCAGTCCTGTACGTAGACAACAAGGCCATGCTGGCCTTGTGTCGAGAGCAGCGACTGGAGCACAGGACAAAGCACATTGCTCTCCGCTACTTCCTTGCTCGTGAGCTACAGCAGCGTGGACAGTTGCGGCTTGCGTACGTGGCCTCTGAGGCCAACACTGCTGATGTCTTCACCAAGGAACTTGCGCCTTGTGATCATCAGCGCTTCTGCACGCAGCTGGGTCTTGTGCCTGTCTTGCCTCACTTGCTCACTTATTGACCTTGCTTGTACTTTCACATATATATACTCTTGCTCTTGCTTGCTTAGCCTCTTGTATATCTATATATGTGATCTTGCATGTGAACTGGCCTTCTGGCCTTTGAACTTGTGCTCGGAATGTGTGGTGACTTTGTGATCCACCCTGAGCTCTGCTTTGCTTTGCTTGACTGGTCTTGTGACCCCTTGTTCTCCCCCACTTTGCCTATGGGGGTGTGTCAGAACATTATAGCTTATATATATTTGTGTAGGCTATAGTGGGGTATCCCATAGGGGGTACAACCCAATCAGGGTTTCCTATATGTACTCACTTCATTCATAGTTCATTCATTCTCGTTCTCATTCTCACACTGGCGCCGACAACAGCATTAGGGGTACTCTCCGCGAAGAACGAAGGGGGGGAGAAGATGAAGCTGAGGAAAGTCAGGCAACACCCGCAATCGTTCCTCTTGGTCGTCCCCCGCGCCACGTTCCACTCGCACTACCACCTCCTGACAACCCCCCGAGCCGTGATCCATGGGACACTATCACCTGGGGCAACGAACCGTCAACACCACGTCGCACCGCCTACGGACCTGCCCCTGAGCACCGTGAACCCACCTTCGTCCCTGGAACCATCCCTGGGACTAACATCCCGCTCTCCGAAATTCGGGACAGAGAATTCTTGGCGCTGATGCTGACTACCGCGGCAGAAGAAGAAGAAGCAGAGGAAGCAGCAACAAGATCAACCCCCGCACCTGACGAAGACCCTGAGGAAGCACGCACACGCTACATACGCACTTCCGGCTTTCGCGCTGACGACGCACTCTGGCACCAGCGGCTCGTCCACCCTTCCCGCGCAATGCTGAAAAACTGCATCGACGCAGGCATCTTCGCTCCTGGCGCACTCCTGCGTCCCGATGGCTCCGAAGTAAGCGGCGCGACACATCCGCGCAACTGCACCGTCTGCCTTGAAGCTGCGCTGAACCACCAAC